AAGGCTGACGTTTTGGGCCTAGACCCTTCATCAGAAAATGATGAAGGGTCTAGGCCCGAAACGTCAGCCTTTCTGCTCCTATGATGCTGCTTGGCCTGCTGTGTTCATCCAGCTCTGCACCTTGTTGTCTCGGATTCTCCAGCATCTGCAGTTCCTACTATCTCTAAACATGGTTCCTGGGATCAGTTCTTAACTAGAAAACAAGCATGCTGTTGTATTCTAGTCTAATTCCTTGTCTAAGCTGAATAATAAGATCATAGATCAGCTGGGAAACCCTCAATTCCATCCATGTTTCTGTAGATCCCACCTTTTTTTTTTTCTTCAAATACACTTTGGTAAATGAATCTATTCTGATCTGCTATTTGCAGGATTTTTAGGCTGTCCAGCTTTTGGGTTTGATCTTAATTATTAAGTCACCAAGTAAATCCATTTTGTGTTGAGTTCGTAATTTTGTGAACACATGCGTGCGGGCCATGTACTTGCCTGTGTCTTTCCCTCTTGGACTAGATTGATTTTTGCATTGACAAATGAGCTGTGTAAACTGCCAATATGGAATGGCTATGGAGAACCTCTATTATTAGGAGCATGGCATCTGGTCCTTAGTATTACGCTGCTCCAATCCATTCCTGCATTAATCTCCCATGTTTATCTCTTTTATTTATGCCGCCTCCTGGGATTACCTGTGTTAACCAATGTCTTTAGTTCCAATCAGGATGGTTTTCTGACGTGCCTATTAGTGCTACTGTGAAAGAGGTGTTTTTCATCACCTGTTTGAGTCACAGAATTTTGCAGTGCAGAAAGAGGCCTTTTGGCTCATTGACCCTGCACTGACTCATTGAAAGAGAAACCCAATTTGCACCAGTCCTCTGCTCTTTTCCCAATGCCTTGCAATTTTTTCCCCCCCTCTTTAAAGTATTGATCCAATTCCCTTTTTCAAATGTTACTACAGATAACTGGCTGTGTAAAGTCATTGTTTTCTGATTTCCCACCTAGTTATTTTGCGAAACTTCTCAAATCCACTGACAGGTGACTGTCTGTGTGGAGTTTGCACATTCTCCCCGTATCTGCGTGGGTTTCGTCCGGGTGCTCCGGTTTCCTCCCACAGTCCAAAGATGTGCTGGCCAGGTGGATTGGCCATGTTAAATTGCCTGTGGTGTTCAAGGTTGTGTAGATTCGGGGGATAGGTCTGGGTGGGATGCTGTGAGGATCGATGTGGACTTGTTGGGCCGAAGGGCCTGTTTCCACACTGTAAGGATTCTGTGATTCTAATTGAGTGAATGTTTGTTTGTCTGTTCCCACTACTGAATCTTTCCAGTCACGCCTGTCACATCATATTATTATCAACTATTCTGGCAAGTGAACGTTGTGTGTGGAGGTGGTGGTATTTGATATTGAGTGACCATCTATAAACTGTACACAGGCAATCCTAAGTCATCCTCTCTCACTCTTGCATGCACGCACCTTCTAGAATGATTGACATGGTATCTAACTAGGAGTATAACATAGCAGCTCCTACGATGGAACAGGGTTGAAACGAAACGTGGAACTCTCAGTTTTCACAACATTGAGTCCATGAATTGTAGTGACAAAATAAATCATTTTGTGAACTTGTGACAGGAAAGAGAAGACCACGGAGAGATGGGGACGTGGCAGGAGAGTCGAATGTTTTTGCTGTACAGTTTTTGTTTTAATTTGGCTGCTTGCATAGTAGCTAGTTGGAAATCTACATAGGCAAACTTAGTGTCAATTATTTATATATAGAATGGTCATAGTTTATTTATCTCCTTTTCATCCATCTTTTAACCTTCCTATAGAATTATAGCAGCAACACTGAGCCTTATCTCATGCTGGTTACCACATTTTGGATGATGTTGCAACATATTTCATAACTCACTGTGATATTACTGTGGCTTTAAGAAGTATATTTTCTCTTTTTTTGAAGCCGTTTTAAGGCAGAGTGCAAAGCAGTCTACAGATCCACTAAACAGCTTATGAGGCCTTGGATTTTTCTTTTAAATTGGAACAGTAGAAGCAGCCTGAATGGGTGTGGCAATGCTCCCACAGAACCAGGATTTGTAGTTTTAACTTTCAGCAGTTGTTGGCGTCTTGAAGCGGTCTCTCTTGGTTACAGCCAAAAGCTGGGTGTTCTCTTCTTGCTACTGGAGTTGCATGTGAGATTATCTGTTTTCTGAATTTGCCTTTTGCTAAAGGTGTTTTTATGGAATTTTACTCTATTGTAACTATATTTTACTATACTGTATCTATTATTTTAAATTTTCCAATAGCGTTAAGTTTCCCTCCGTCCCTCCTTGTAGTGTAACTGTGTGGATGAATGTGGTTTGACCAATCAAATTGCATCTGGAATGCAACACCTAACATGTATCTTCTAAAATAAGAAAATCTTAGTCTAGACCCTGTCTTTTGAATATTTTGAGGGGGTTTGGTCTCATCTATAACAGTGATGTCAATTCCATTCTCTTGGATTTTTTTTGTTTGAAGGTGAACGGGAGTAACAGCAGGTCTTGGATCAAAGTTAATATGCAGTCTGTTTAAAAAGTCTTCAGGAGCCCTAAGCAGACAACAGTGGTATTTATGACCGAAACTGCAGCAACTTTTCTGGATTAAAAATTGGTCTCTGATATCTGCAGCACCGTGGATTGAATGCTGTATGACAGTGCACAGTATACACACTAAATCATTGCTAGTTATTTACACCACCGGTGGGATGAACCCTTCATTGTTCTGACTGGGACAAATAGTACCAATGTATTCAGCTATTGGTTTGTCAACCAATAAAATTGATGTCACCATGATAGCATCTGCAACATAAGTCCGACAAGAAGTGGCCAATTGATGGTATTTGTATTTTAACAAGTGTGTGGAGCATTGTCGTAGCAAATACAGTTCAATATATAATCACATTTAACTTGAACTCCCACTTTTTTCTGGTATTTATCACTGAAGTGTTAGCCTGGTGGCGCTGTCTCTTTCTCTACTTTACTTTTCCTGTTTTGTCCTCCTGCTTCCTCTTTGCCCATCCTGTTCACCCCTCTTTGATTTTCAACTTTAATTTGCTGGAAACACATAGGTGGAAATAATTTTTTTTTTGAAGAAGAAAATTTCATTTAAAATTGGAAAGTGAGTTGGTAAGCAATCTAATGTTGAGACTGTAATTGAGCCAACTACAAAACTTGTATTCAACCTGGAATTCGCTCCCTGAACCCCTTTCAGTCACTGCCCCTCCCCCTTCCCCCTTCCTTCCCCCGCTCTAGCTCTGGCCCTCTTCTCGCCCTCTTTCCCTCCCTGTGCCCCCAACCTCACCCCCACTCCTGTCTCTCTAACATGTGTTTAAAAGTCAACTACATTGTCTAACCTTTTGGCCACTTGTCCTAATGCCTTCTGAAACAAAAGCAGGAAAACTTAGAGCTACTCAACAAGTTCAAGTTGCATCTTAATGAGAAAGTGGGTTAATGTTTCAGATCAATGATCTGTTGTAAATATTGTACTTTCTTTTATTTTTCTGTTTATTTTGATAGTGGACTGAAATGGAAAAAGGGCAATTTTAAAAACCCAAGGATGATGGAAAGGATTACTGCACCTTTTTTAAAGCAGGTTTCAGTGTGGTTTACACTGCATCTGTTCAAGCAGCAAGAGGGGATACTACAGACAAAGTGGAACTGGTGTGTGTACAAAGGGAGATTTGATTGGCAGCGAGTAGCTGATTGGTCTGACCCATTGTCAATGACAGAGGCATTCTGTCTGCCAACAACTGGCTCCCTGACAAGCAAAAAGGACCATCTTAGTGAACCCTATTGTCCAGACCGTTACACTACTGTCCCAGTCTTTCTCTGCTGCTGACACCCATGGTTTTTGTTTGATTGTCTATAGTGGGGGTTTTAATGAGTAGAGTTATGTCGATGGTTCATAATTTTTCGCTTTAGCTTGAATCTATTTATTTGTAATAAATAAATAAAAATCCTTGTTAAGTCTGGAAAACTAGTTTGTGCTTTCTGTCAACCTGGGTCTAAAGGCAAGGTCAATTGGGAAATTTTGCTTACCTTGGTAAAATCTTTGCCTTTTTGTAATGACTCTGGGAATAGCAGAGCTTGTAACCCTAATGAGGAATAACACTCGTCAGAATATCTGTGCGCTTCAGTGTCAAATGTTTTGTGATCCCATTCTGATGTGGCATCATGGGACACTTTATTGTGTTACATGTACGTTAATTGATTTAATTAGTTTCGTGTTCCTTTCCTTCTCAGGTCCTTACCCACCACCGACCAATCATGTGATTATTCAAGACCGGCGGCGCGATGATGGTGACCTTGCGCTGGGCATGGTGGCAGGTGCTGCCACTGGCATGGCATTGGGCTCACTATTCTGGGCCTTCTAGAACTCTGGGGAGCTGAGCTCATTTGCTGTTTACATTGCCTTCACTTTCCTGGTAGAGTCTCCCCATGCAGTTTCCACCTTACCTCTCAAGTCCATAACATCTACTGCACTCATATAATTGCTCTGTTACTACATGACACTTTAATCTTATTAAAACAAATTCTGAAATCTTGAGTGACCTATCTGAGCAAAATTAAGTAGTCTATTTATATCTATATATAGCAAGATTAAAATTAACTTATTTCAAGAAAGCCATGACTAAAAGTATCATGCGTTTCTTAAATTCTAATTTTTTAACTTCAAAAATTGTTTTGAACGTGAATGTGAGATGAGAGAGTTGGAGTGGAGTTGGCACACTGCTGTCATGGGTTGGAACTCCCTTCTGAGGCCTGATTTTTGTGTTCAGTCTAGGATATTGAGATGAGAGGTTTTTTTTTTTTTTGGATATCACCTCCTGCTCTTTTGACACGTGGATTGAATTGTAGCACAAATTGAGCTGTATCAAGTGAATGAGTTAGCCCATGCCTATATCACTTCCAGGTGTGACATGCAAAACATTTGATGCTTGGTGGGAAAATGTAATTTCAAGCTATATTATCAATCTGTTTAGCAACCAGTGAACAAGGGTACTCTGCTACTGTATTGAGAAGTTACGGTCACGGTTGCAGCTTGGATTTCCAATGTCATTGGGTTTTTGTCTCTAACAGTCACTTTTGGGTAAGGTTGATCCCTATGTTGGAAAAATTACTCTGGTCACCAAATTTAGATGTTCTTCGTTAGTTGCTAACAATGGGGTAAAGACCAATAAATTGCACTCCAACTGTATATACATTTGATCGGCCAAAGTACAACAAATGTAAGAGGTAAAATATGCAAATTGTGCACATGCTTATTTAATGCTGCTTCCTATCCTGAAGTAACAAGCTGTTTTACCCGAGAAAAGCCAAGAGTGAGGAAAGAACAGCCAGTTTGATGAGAGCCATCTCTACTATTCCCGAACACTCTTCCTTTAGTACCTGATTGAATGTCCTGAACGTTTATGCGTCCGTCGAAGCCAAGCATTTCTCAATAAATAAAGATGTCATCTGCTTACACTTTCTTTTCACAAATACAGATTAATGATTTGTACTCTTACCCAACCACAGTTGAGGATGCAAAAACAGAAAGGAGAGTGTTCTCTGCACAAATATTGATTGCTCCTGACTTGTTGACTAGTCTTTTCTGTTCAAGGATCCTGTGTCTGACAATTTTAGTCCTGTCTTGTGTCCTCTGGCTTCATTTTCCTGGCTTAGTTAGAAATGTTGTGCTTACACAACCTGTTCTGTTATAAATTTGAGAATTGAGATGAACCAACTCCTGGCAAAGTATGGAGTTCATACTTTCTAAATCCTTCCTCATACTTTTATACACTGGATCATTCTTGCTGATTCTTCTTATACTCTTTTTCTGGTGCATGCTGGTTTTCTCTTGTGCCATTATCACCAAATCTGAAGCCAATGTCTGACAAGAACATCATCAGGCCTCTATCACTTGTGTCTTGTTCACACTCTCCATCCCAGTGTTTAATTGGCTTTACATTTAGTTCAGTCCATTGCCTCAACATAGAAAGTGACTTCAAAAAACCTGCCCCCGACATCTGTTGGTTTTCATCCATTTCTGGATGCTTAAAATGCACAACATTTTAAATCAATATAATTTATATCTACTGAAACTAAATTTCAGCTACCATTTGCCAGTTTAACTGCGTTATGCTTCACTTGTTTGAATAGAGCCATTTCATGAGCCATTGGATAAATGAACTCTCAATTAATCTCTTTCCTTGCTTCCCAGTTCTGCAGTTTCCATCTGTCAAACTGAAACTTTTGTAGTTGTCCGTTTACCTATTGTTTTAATTGTTTCAGACTACAAAGGTGGTACAACCTTTTTGAAGTCTGAAATTATATTTGTCTAATTTTTCAACTTCCTATTTTGTACTCCCTATGTTTAATTTGATGCTGTGTATATGAATTCTTCATATATATATATATATATACTGATGTCTCTCTCTTTGTCTATCCAATCCTCTTCCAATATTCTGGCCAAACCACTATCATCAAACGTGCGTACTTTTTGTCTTTGACTTGAACCTGACTTTATGATTTGTATTTAACTCGGCCTTGAAGGTAAAGAGACAGTAAAGTCAGAAGCAACATAGTGGAAATCAATGGTGTTGACATTGGTATTGAAAGATGTGAGATCCAGATAGAACCAACCTGTGAATTTAGTGAAGACTAAATCTGAATGGGGAGGCATTCATTTCATAATTGTGGCTGGGTACAAGATTCTGAAAGGAACTGTTGAATTGCTTTACCTGTTTCAACTATTGGATATACGTGCTCAGAACAGTCCATTGTTGATGGAAAAACTTGCACTTTATTACTTGTGATGGAGCCTGTAACTTCCAGTTTCTAAGCCTTGAGCTTAATCCCATGTAGTTTGAGATGGTTTTTAAAGAATCCTACATAATAGTCTTCACACGAGCTCTGCAAAGCTAGTATTCCCCTTCTCACCCCTGTTCCAATGAATAATTTAGTAACCTGTATCCTGCTGTGCACAGTGCTGCCTCTTTGGGGTAATCAGATGCTTGAGCAGAAGTTAGCAGAGTGTTGTTAAAAATGGAAGGAAATTGACTGTGGGCAAAGCACTTCAGCAAAATACTAAACAAAAAAATTGCTTGGATTTCAACTCTTGTTCTAGGTTTTGTCTGAACTTTAAACTGCTTCTGGCTAATCTGGTGTCCCTTTTTCTTAAAACTTTGAAATCCGTTTTTCTTTAGTGCAAGATGTTACAATGAATCGTTTATCCATACTAGCCGGGAAATGTCAACTCGTTAGTAGACCAACCGAAGTTTGAATTGTACCTTTCAAACACACTGCTTTTGTAGTTCATCTGCCTGAGAGAGCATCCCAGCCACACGCACACGCTGTCCCCCAGGTTGTTGTTTGTCATCGGAAGCTGTGGAGTGAAAGTTAAGTGTATTGATCCAATCTTTTTCCCCTTCACGTAGGAAGCAGGGAGAAATTGGTGCCAATTGCTCAAGGAGTTTTGAATTGGGCTGCCCATAGTGTTGGTTGGTCTAGTGTGTTTGGGGAAGATCTAGGGAGGTGACCTTGCAGGCTGAAACAACACAGCTTAAATGCACTTTTCCCTCGATACAGAGTAATGTTGAATGACTTCCATTTGTTTTCTTAACACTGTATGCCTTTTTATCACTGAAGCGAAACAATTCCTTAGCTTATCCCAAAATTAATTTCGAGGCAAATATGTAACACTCCCAAGTGCCTCACGCCATTAGGCTGTTGAATGGTGGAGAATTCCCTGATTGGTGTGAACGAGTTGCAGTCTTGAAGGGAATCCATGGTGTTGCACCCTTCAGCCTGTATAGGGCTATGTAGGATGTCTCTGCTTATTGGGTTTATCACCTGTTGGATCTTGAGCTTACCTTGTGCTATATGCTGATGCCTTCAATGAGGAATGGACAATGTCCATCTCCTTTGCATTGTTTTTTTTTTCACTAAATTCTGCTTGCCTGTCTTCCTTGGGCTTCATTTTGTATTTGATCCTCTCAAACAGGAAAGCTTATTTTTTTTGGATGCATAATAACTGGGGAGCATGGAAGGTAGGTTAATGGTATTTTTTTTAGTCCACAAGAAACGAGCAGTTGAGTAGAAGCAGTGTTTTTTTTGGGTGAAAGGGTGTGCGAAGAGTCCATATAGTGCCCACAGTCTGATGTTCGTCTTCCAGTCAGCTTTTTTGTTAATTAGAAGAGGCTGCTTAGGGTTTTTTTTTCTTTGTGATTTCCTGATTAATCATAAATTCTGTTTATATGTCACCCTAAATTTTAACTATTGGAATAACTGAATTATCTAGTGTGCTTTGTCTTATTCAGCAGTCTAATGACACTGACCAATCGGAGCAGCTTTTTACCCATTTAAAAATAAAATCTCAGCACAGAAAGGACAGACCTTGAGGGTGAAAGAAAAATGGCTGAAGCATTGAGTTGTAAGCACCAAATTGTTGACTTGAACATGTAGGGTAGACCAGAGAACGTAAGCAGAAGAGAATGCAGTGGGAAGGTGAGGCAAGTGCTGAAAGTTGATGTGGATTCTTGTTTTGAATATGAAAGTGATATAATGAAGTAACACCGAGTACGATTCAGTGGTTGAAAAGAAGTGTGTGGATTTGGCAGGCATGAATATTTCGTATCCCTCTTGAATGCTCACTGCAGTCGTCTACATTTTTTAAATTTTCTGTGATGTCCTCTCTCTGGATCCAGCTCTCTCGTGTTTTTTGTACTAATGGTTGGAGATGCATCCTCTGCTGTGAAATTTGTGCAATGTGTGTGCGTGCAGATGTTACCTTTTAATACTTTTTAATTACTATGATTAATGATCAGCGCAAAAATGCTTCTAGAAATATTCTGTCAATAGCAATTGGGTAGGTTGTATTTCTGTGATCAATATTGCTGATTATACCCTAAAATTTTGTTTCTGTGGAATGAAATTGTGTATTTAAATAAACTGATTTAATTGTACAGCTGTCCGGTGTCTCATTTAAAAACCAGGATGTACAGTTTCACCAGATGGTCAGAATTAGAGGTTGGGTGGCACTTCTGTGCTGAAGTGTTGGACAAGTATCCACAAATCTATGTGAAGATAGGGTTGTAGTGCTTCTTACCCAGCAGTGGCTTTTTTTTGTTTGTTGTTTTCTCTTCCCCATTCCCCCTCTCAAAAGGATTAGAATGTTGCTGAATGCACTGTAGAACCCAGCATGTTGTTCAAATGATCATAGAATCCCTACAGTGTGGAAGCAGGCCATTTGGCCCATCGAGTCTACATCGATCGTCTGAAAAGCAGCCCACCGAGAACCCCCTTTCCTATCCCTGTAACCCTGCATTTCCATGGCTTACCCACCTAAGCCTGCACATCCCTTGGCACTGTGGGCTATTTAGCATGGCCAGTGCACCTAACCTGCACATCTTTGGGAGGAAACCTATGCAGGTGCCAGGAGAATGTGCAAATTTCACACAGATGGTCACCCGAGGGTGGAATTGAACCTGGTCCCCTGGGGCTGTGAGGCAGCAGTAATAACCAATAAGCCTCACTTATTCATCACCTGAGCCTTGCTGCAAGTTGGCAGAGTTGGATTATTGGGGAGTCAATTGCTGGACTATGACCCATTAGGCATATGTGCAAAGTCACTAACTGTCCCCAGAAGCCTCTTGCAGAATCCATGCTTTCGTTTATCTTGAAACCTAGGTAAGTGACTGCACAATCAAAGGTGGGGAGTAAAGATCCCTTGCTATAATACTTGGATTTACCAGAATGTTCATCAGATTATCTTGTGTTTTCCTTATTTCCAGCAAGTGAATCGAAACTACGTTGTCAGACTAAGGATTAGGTAGTAAACCAAGATTACCGAGCAGAGAGTATAAACGAACTATTCCCAGCACAAAGGTGGAATCAATATAAATACATGAACTGTAAATGTTGGAAATTTAAAATACAAGCAGAAAATGCTGGAAATTTTCATGTCAGACAAAATCTGTTAAAACCCATTGCTGACTGCCCTTGACAACAAGACTGCATTTGACTGAGTGTGGCAAGAAGGAGGCCCAGCAAAACTAGAGTCGGCAGCATGGCGAGTAGTGAGGAGAGGGAAGTAGGCTTGATAATTTGCTGCTTGGAGTCCTTCCTGGTACATAGGAAGATGACTGTGGCTGTTGCAGATCAGTCATCTCATCTCCAGGACATCTGTTTGTCAGGGAAGTACCCTAGGCCCAACCATTTTCAGCTGCTTCATCTATGACTTTCTCTCGTTCAGAAGTGAGGATGTTTGCCAATAATTGCACAATGTTAACTGCCATGAGTGACTCCTCCAGGTACTGAAGTCGACCATGTTCAAATGCAACCAGATCTCTGCCAAATGGCTACCAGACAGTGACCGTCTCCAACAAAAGAGAATGTAACCATTTACACCACCCTCCCACCCCCCAACTCACCATCTTCCCCTTGACATTTAATATTATTATTATTATTGCTGAATTCCCCCACTGTCAACATGCTGGGGCTTACTATTGACCAGACTTGCTAAATAAATACTCTGGCTACAAAAGCAGACCAGAGGCTATGAATCTTGTACTAACTCACATTATGACTCCCCAGAGCTTGCCCACCATTTACAAGGCACAGGTTAGAAGTGTGATGGAATATTCTCCACTTGCCTGGATGGGTGTAGCTCCAAGCATGCTCAAGAAGCTTGATCCCAACCAGAAAAAAGCAGCCACTTGACTGGCACCACATTTTGAAACATTAACTCCCTTCACTCTCCCTTAAAGCTCAGTAGCGCTGTGTACCATCGACAAGCTGCACTGCAGAAAATCCACAGCCATTTAAAATTCCTTCACTACCCAGCAAGTTCCCTTCCAAGCTATTACCGTTCCTGACTTGGAAATGTGTTGCTGTTCTTTCTGTGTCAGTGGGTCAAAATCCTGGAACTCCCTCCCGAGGGGCATGGTAAGTTGACACCCAAGAAGAATTGCAGCAGTTCTAGATGGCACTCACCAAGACCTTCATGTGGGTAACTTCAGATGGGTAATAAATGCTGGCCCTGCCCAGAGATGTCCACATTCCATGAGTGCGTAATTTAAAAAAAAAATTCTGTTCAGTCAAGCAGGCCACTCTCATTGCCAGTGCTACATTGGTTTGAATGAGACAAGCCTTCGCAGTGACAAAAGTTGACCCTAGCATCTGAGTTTTTACTTAATTATTCCCTCACATTTAAGGCAGGGGCGGTGACCCTCTCCAGTTTCCCCATGCCCTTGGCGGAGCACAAATTGGAGAACTGAAATAAGATTTCTTGCATTGCTCAGCTGTCTCCCTTATTAAACATCTGAGCCTTTGATAAGATTCTTGCCCAATTTCTATCTTACAAGATAAAACTGGGCACTTCAATACTTCTGGGGAAGGAGTGGCAATATTTGAAATGATCTGTAAGGTCCTGAGGTCAAATTATTAATTGCTGTCTCTGATGTCACTCACACCTTCAGATCTTATTGTTCTGGGTTGGATCCATGTTTCTTGGTGTGCAGTAACCAATGGTTATTATGTGGCATTTCACTGATAACACAGGGTTTGGCCTAATGAAGGAATGGCAGATTCAGCTCAAAATATTTTCCCTTGGTGTGATTTTGTTGGAACAGCAATGCAGAGAAAGGGAGAGATGAGCTAAATAAGTTGTGGCTGTTTAAACAATCTGAAGCCTTGTATACATTTAATATGCCTCATCAGGATGTAAATCTGAGTCAATTGAGTCCAAGCGTGAATCAAACATTTCTTGTATCGTAGAAAATAGGTGAGTACCGTTTCCTTCCTTCTGTGCTGTTACTGCAGTCGTATGATCATTCAATGATTGGAGCTGTGGTGCACTATGTGAAACTCCCCCACCAGAAAAACATGGAACTATTAAATTTCCCAAAAAGAGTTTTGGTGTGTAATCTGATGAATTTTAATGTCCAGGCATTTCTTTAGGGGAGAAAATTGTGCTAAGCATAAAATACTTCGAATTTTTTGTCCTCAAAATTTATTTAATTGAAATTTAATTCTAACAATCTTTTGAGAACATTAGTTGTCTTTCTAGAACAGAATAAATAACCCAAGATTTAAATGTTTCCATTTTGGTTGGACAATGCTCTAGAGTTAGGAATGATTGATTGTTCCTTACATTTCTTCGACGCTCTATGTTCATATCAAGCTGTCAGTAAGCGTTGCTTTTAACAGCTTGCTCGTAGCCTTCCTAACCTGATTGAAGATACATTTAGGGACAAGGTTGTGCTTCACTGCACTGTCCAGGACTAAACTGACAACAATGTGATTCTCCTAACAAAATGGCATTTTTCTTCCCTTTGCTTCATTTTCTGATGCAGTTGACAAAGTTTTTTATTTGTGAGCAAGTATGGCTGAGTGGCAATATCGCAGCTAAACTGAATCAGACAATTGAGAGCCAGCAAGGGCTGATCATGGTGGGACTGTCCATTAACTTCTGTGTCTATTCTGTGCCTTTCCATAAATTAATGTCGAGCTTTGAAATACAGGGGTAACTTTTTAAAACGTTTATCTTTTAAAAACATCACATTTTGAAATGGAAGTTTAAAATGTTCAGACAGACTTTGTAGTTTTCATTCATATCAAACGCTCGTGAGTTGTCTCTTCTATGCTGACCAATTTAATTCTGTTTGAATCTATAACCTTGATCAATTTGGACATGTAATCACACTTCTTTGTTTAAATTAAATTGCTTGACTTTTAAACTCTGAAATTTTAAAATTATTTATTTTGGTTGTATCTTCAGCTTTTCTTCTTTAAGCCTGAATTGTAATTCCAACTTGATTATTACAAAGCTTGTTGGAGAATTTTCTACTTCAAGAAACTCAAGAAGTTCTTTGAAATAATAAATAATTTTCTTAAAATTTCAAATTGTAATTGGTTGTTTTGTACAGTTATAAGGCTTCTTTCTTTGAGGTGTTTTCTGCTTTCAACTGTAAAAGCTTTTCTTTAAATTTCTTTGTAGATATTTGTTCGATACACTTTGAAATTAATTTAAAGTATTTCAGGTGTTGTAAATCTTTTCAATCTTTTGGTAAATTAAACTTTAACTTTTCATTTAAAAATTTGAGCTGATGGCTTTGCACTTTTATACCTTTTTCCTTCACAAGGTTTGCACCTTATTCAGCAAGACGAAGAATTTATGGCATTTCTCTTGCTTTCCCCAAATGCCTTTTTGCTCCTCTAAGTAGCATCTTGTGCTTTTTTTGCAGTTTTAAATAATTTCTGCTATACCATCATTGTTTTTATTTGCATCAATCATAAATTTAATCTTCTGTTTTCAATTTATAGATCTTAATCTCAGTAACAAAATTTCTTCAAACCGGCAATGCTAAACTTTGCGGAGACATGTTCGCTGATGCATAATGAAGTTGAGTACAACAAAATTAATGAGACTTTGTAATAATTTCTTTTGAATTAGACCTTTTCCTCAGAATCTGTATGCAGTAGCACCATACAAGTCAATCTTTTTTTTATCCTTGCAAATGCCACCTGCTTCTTTGCTGGATCATGAGGTATATCTACTCCGAACTGCTTTATCGAGATTCCCTTTAGTCTTCATACACTCCTGTGCACCCCACTCCCCAAACCCCGGTTCTGGCTGTTGTTGAACTTGAACTTTTCCAGTCTGAACTGACTGGTTGCTGTCTCTGTCTCTGTGGCTAGCTGATTTGCTCCTCTTCATTTCAGATGGCTGTAACTCACTTTCTGTGCAGAATTTAAATGTTCTCTCTTTTTTACAGATTGCTATGAATTCTTTGCATTGTTGACATTTTCTTAATTTTAGAATGCAGTGCACACTGCTGGCATCATTGTGTAAGAAATGCTGGCACCCAGTTATAATAGGATGATCTGTGGGTAGATATACTGCCACCAACCCTTCTAATGCTAAGTCTATGGGGCTTCTTTGGACTAAACAGTGAAGAAGTAA